GTGGTTTTAGGATTACTGGTAGATGCTATGTGCTATCCCAAGGTCTGTTTAGCCCATGTCAATGCACATGGGATTCCTGGTTTCCTATCCTGAGCACTGCAGAAGGGTAGTCCTAAGACATAGCAGCTAGGAGGTCATGATGGCTTCTCAAAGAATTGCTCAGCCAGTTTTTGTATCATCTCTAGTAGCATTGTTGCTTTCATGCTGATGCAGAGAAGTAGTTATCCAGAAGGCAGCATCTGAAGCTGCTTTCAGATAAGTCAACCAAAGGGAAAAGAAGTGGTAGCTGGTCCAGGCTCCCTAGTTGGGAGCTAGATTTAGTCTGTTAGACACTAAACCTTTTCTAGATTTAGACTTTCCAAAATCAAATCAAAGGAGCTCAAATGTACAAAATATTTGCCCCAGATACATTAAGTGTGGTGTAGAAACCGTCAGAACTGTTTCCTGGTATGACGTACCACCTGTCCTAGGCTGAGAGCTAAACCAAACTCTGAGCTGTCCATGTTCTGGTACAACCTGTTAGCTGTGGTAAAGTGGAAGAAAATGAAGTCTTGGGTAGTTTTATCATAGTGGATGACTGGTTTGGCTATAATATGAAACATGTTACTTTTTCACTATGTAAGAGTAAAGAATACAACATACATATCCACAAAGATCAACCTATTCTAAACAAAGAGAGATTTCCTTGATAATGGCAAGTAAGGTAGGTCTATTATGAAAGACTATCCTCCAGAGCATGCGTTAGTTCAACAATACTTTTGTTCTGAAATTTCCTCAAACAATGAACAAAATTATTTTCACAAAAGGAGCACAAGTCAGCTCTTTGCTGAAAGGTTTTTTGATAATTGAATGCCTACTGTCAAAGAATTTTCAGGATCTAGGTTATCAGAAATACAGACACAGGCAGCAAAAAATAGCAGCAAATACTTGAATGTACTCTATGGTAACACTGCCTTATTTTTGGTCTGGGCTCAGCAGGCCTTAGGACAGAGAATTATGGAAAGAACCTTTTTTTTTTTTTCCCCCAGTTTTTTTCCCCCAAATGTAGAGAAGCATACATAAGTAGATCATTTTCTTGCTCTGCTCATTAAATAATCTTAATTTCTTTTCAGGCAGGAAAAGGAAGCTATATACAATTATTAAGTTTAGAAGCTTAAATTTATAATTCTCAGATATCGCATACACATACACTTTTTTTATTATTATTATTCTCTGGTATGGTCTACTTTAATTTTGGCACTTCAGTTCTTTATTTTCTCTAAAATTTAAGGTTGCATTTGAGTTCTATCGGTATTAGTGATAGGAATCTTCTTCATGTTCCCGTGTAAGTGAGAAAGTTTTATCTCTGTGCTATTGATGGCACTTTTTTGTCTTCAGGCTATACTTCTAAAAGGTACTATTGAGGCTGGCTAAGAGAATAACACGGTTCCAGAGCCTCCTGTCTACACATAGGTATCTGAGGTAACCTGTCAGAATGTGAAAGGAAGGGAATGAAGTCAGGCTACATGGAGGGCTATACTGTGTGTGGTTGACCAGTGAATTTAGTCTCAACGATGTTCTCAGGGTCTCCCTCAAAAGATGGAATGATTATATCCTTGGATGTTTATATGAACCTGTACATTTACCTGTCTGCTTTTCTTCCCATTTGTTGATAGAGATGCCGTTTTAGTAGATCTCATTCATTATGTTAAGATTATAGGAGTTACAGTGTTTTTGGGAAAAAGCCGTAAGAAAAAAGAATTTTTGGTCCTCTCGGAGAGAAATTTTACTTCTAGCATTTTTATTTCTTAGACATAATTAAAAGTGGAAAGAAGAAAAAAAGTAAATAACTGCAATGAAACAAAATAACAAGCATCACAACAAATATTATATGCAAAGAATTTGTCAACTAGCACACTATTTTGCTGTCTTGCTGAGAATAGGGTGGGGTTTTTGGTAGCTGGAAAAAAGAATTTATTTCATCTATTAAATCAAGTTCTCAAGAAATTCTCGACCCTTCATTGCCTTGGTTGCCAGGCTTCATAGAATAAAAAATACTGCTTTTGTCTGAGACAGAAAGCCTGAAGAAGTTCTCTTTATGTTTTAACACTGAATTTGTATACCACTAGCAAATTCCACAGTGTGTTTTGTCTCATATATTGATTGAAATGTTTTTATGTTCTGCACACAAGAACTTTCAGTGATAATAAGCTGAAAAGTGTCACTACATTTGGATTTTATATGTAATATAATTATACTAAATTTAATAGTTTAGCTGTTATATCTATAGTTTTGCAGAAATAAATTTTCAGAGAGTGGGAGCAAGAGCCATATTTTGACTTGCACTCTTCCAGAATTATATAAAATGTAATGAGATCTTGAAATAATAGAACCAGAACAAAGCAATAAAAGGACTTTAGTAGATAGAATTTTACAAGATAGATTTACCTGAAGAAGAGCCACTTGAAAGGTTGTTACCATCTGAAATACAATTAAACCAGATTTACAAAAAGCTTTAGCTTAAAAAGAAACAGGTTCAAAAAATAAACAAACTATTAAGAAAAGACGGTAGAATATAAAATTTCCACATGTTTTAGAAGCAAATTCAGGTAGCTTGAGTTCATATACAATATATGTAATCTGCAGAAGAACTGTTTGAAAAGTACATTGCCTTTTTATTCGGAAAATTTAAGAACTCTTCCATTAAGAAGTACTTTGATAATTACTAAGTTTGTCACATAGATCAATATATGTTTCCAATTACCAAGTTTTAAAGTTGGCTAATGTTTCAGACAGAAAACTAAAGTAGGTGTATCCAGAATAACGTGCAATTTCTTATGAAATGGAACCTCTTCTAATTTCTTAGCGATCATTTCTTTGCTAGGAAATGCCAACTTTGCTTGGAAGAAACTTACTGAAAAGTTGAAGAATTCATAATCTCCTTGGGAAGAATAGGCTTTATTTGCTGACACTTGTTCAGAGTATGATCTTAAAGAAGTTTCATATTCCTGATAAGCCTCACTTATTTCATGTCTTCATGGGAAGAACTCAGACTATGTGTCTTTGTGTCTTTTCCAATTGCTTCCAGGTCTTTGGAATGCCCAACTTGCCTGGGTGCTATGCTCCTTAATATGGTTAAGTAATAATGATAGTAATCTATGCCTGAGAAATAAGGCACAGTAATGGTACCCTCGCTCCCTCGCCCGCTTATTTTTATCTATAGATCTATTTTGTTTGCTTACTTTAAAATAATGTCTACTCTATGTTGAATAATCTAAATAAAAGCCCATATTCCTTATAACCACTGTCCACCTGAAAGCTTCTGAAATCCATTTAAATATTTTTTTCTGCTATCTAGTAGAGTCCTCTTTGTTTAAACTTGAGATACTTTGATAGTTTAGATTTATCCCTCTTCAAGGTTAAAAATCTCTAATTCAATTTAACAAGTGCACAGATGTGTTAAGTTCTCTGTGCTAGCTCCCATTATAAATAATAGAGACATATGTCTCTCTCTTCCATCAGAGAATGATGCAAAACTCGCTGCCTTTATACTTTCCTGAGGGTATGTATTATAATGTGGGATGACTTTGCAAAATCATTACCCTAGCCTTCAAGTTACCTCACAGAACCCACCTGTTTTAAATGCCCTGAACAGAACAAATAGATAGGAGACCTGATAAAAATGAATAAAAATATAGGACTAGAATAAACCTCCTGGATCTAGTTCAATCCACGACTCCTTTCAATACTCACTATGTATTCTCATACTTACTATGTATTTATTTAAATAGGAAAAGGAAAATTTGCAGGTATCTGCATAGCCAGAGTATTGTGAGCTTGTGCTCCTTTTCCTGTCCAGTGTCCACAGGTCATCTCCACTGAAAGCTACTGAAAGCTGTGTCATTCCTTCTTTTTGGTTTGTAATCTCTTTAAGGAGAGAATGCATTTTTTTATTGAATGTTTGTATAAGATATAGCACAATAGCTCTATGATCCTAGCTGGGAGAGGCTGCAATGCAAACAGCTAATTACAATGGCTATCATTTCTAAGCTGAGCCCCAACAGTAAGCATCATGAGGAAATGGAAATATAGCCACCCCACTTCTATTTCTCTGTCTGTAAAAGAAGACTAATAGAATTTATTTATCTTAATGGCTGTCCTGTTAATTAGTCAGTTAGGTATTTGTGGAACGCTAAAGGTGAAAGTACCAGATGTCCTTCTGTCTTATACTGGTGATTGCTGTTTGGCTACATTCCTTTGCTAAGAGTTCAACACTGTCTCAGTTCACCTAACATTCACTGTAATTTACCTTGGAGACAAATACACCTATTGACACTGGGGTTGTCAGAACTACACTGCTGGTTGGCTAGATAGAAACCTTTGTCCTCCTGAACACAATTTTTCTTGACTAGCCCTCACTTATGATGAATTTGCTCCCAGTGGTGCAGCTAAAAATAAGACCCTGGACAAATTTCTCATTACATTTTGGGCAAAGTTGGCGGTTACTATTGCTTATATGTGCCATGTTCTATGTGGCAAACTTGTATGCATCAAACAGTATACAATATTTCATGACAACATTGTTGTCCAGATATGTTTAGAAAAAAATATATGCTTGGCTCTCACTAAACTGCTATGCTTACTTACATAGCGAAGTGCTCTGCGCAGAGGAAAACAAATAAATACAATTTTTTGAGTTAACTCTTTGACTTAAAGGAAAGGCCTGATTTGAATTTCAGTTGTGCTGTTTTATTTGTAACTTCAGTGGATGCAGTGATCTCTACTCCTGAGATGTAACTCCATTGCTAGGACCAGGATAGGGACAAACTCAGTGAAGTGTTAAGCACCTTGAAGAATCTCCTTGCTTGAAAGGATTATGGGTTTTGCTGTTTTAAGAATATTATTAGCCCATTCATTTTGTTTGAACCTTATCCAGAAAGTATGCATTTATTGGATGTATAACAGATCCTCTCATTTCCTTTAAAGGAAGATACCCAAGAAATTATTCCAGGGTGTCCTTTATAGGATTATAGATTTTGAAGTGATAAAATGATAGGACAATCCTCAAATATCCCTCATCAGCAGAATGCAATTATATGCTTAATCAAATAACTTTTGGGGCTTTCTCCCATGAGGTAATGAACATTATGTTTGGGAACCAGTATTAGCTTACAGTTTAGTACTTCTAGCTACTCAAAATGTTTTGAAGTTAAATGAATAAAATGTGTGGTAAAGTTACCTCATCTGACTTTAACTATTTACTATAACCTACACACTAATAACCTACATAGACTTTAACTATTAACTATAGCCTACATATTAATAGGAGTTTTGCTTTAGACAGAACTGGAATAAATGTTGGAAAAAGCACTTAAAGGTCAGTAAAAAAGCAGCATGCTCTGGGTGGGGCAGAAAATGAAAACAACTCACAATTAAAGTTCTGAGAGGTTTTTCTCATCTTGTGCCTGTGTGTGCATTACAATCCCACAAATGGTCGACTCTGAGTAGAAAAATTATAACTACATATTGAAGTCAATATCCTCAAATCTATGACTTTCTGTCAGTGTGGAATGGCTGCTGATTTTCTCTGTGTTCAATCTGTGTCATGATTGATTTTGATATTTTACAGTTACTAGCTATACAGATGCAAAGTATTTGACAGCTTTGAAGAACAGAATCAGGTGCCAGGAGCAAATATTGATTTATACCACAAGTTCCTTAAATTTCTGTGAAAATTCCTCATCAGATTGCTGGACTGGATGAACTTGCCAGATCGGAATGCTTGACAGATTTGGGAGTAAAATTAGACACTTAAGTTCCCTTTCCTCAACAGATGATTTAAAAGCCTTATTTAAATACAGCAGTTATAGTAGCTTAACACTTTATTATAAAGAGCTTAATGAAGTCTGTACCACACACTGTACAGGAATTCTGATCTCATCTTATTTTGGTTAACAACTGCTACTAGTAGACAAATTTAAATGATAATTTAGTAGTGTTCACAGAGGTGTTTTTTTTGCTAAACTGGTATAAAATCATATTTCTTAACTTAGTTGATTGCAGAAAATCTACAGAAAGCTCTTTTTTTTTTTTTTTTTTTTTTTTTTTTTTAATACAATGAGCCTAACAGGAAGGAGTTCTCTTTTTGTAAAGGTGTCTTGCTAAATATCTATTATTTATGCATTATTTCAGTTGGAGTTGAAATTTTTTTTACAAATTTGGTGAATGATTAGCTTCATGAAAATTTATGAACAACACTTTTGGGAATAATTTTTTATCATCGTAGTGACAATCAAGCAAATGTTAGTGTCTTATCAGATGTGACAGTGAACAGTCCATAAGAACTGTTATAGTATGAGTAAAATCCATTTTTAGGGCTTATGTAGCTCAAAACTTTTGATCTTAACACTTTAATATGTTAAACAAATAACCCTTCACTTAAAAAGCAGGTATTTATGTCTTCAAGCATTTCACAGATGAAATGAGGTGGGGTAAAATTATTAAGTATTTTTATCTTTGGGTATAGAAGTTAATTTCTGGAATTATAAAACATTTACATGATCTAAGAAAAGGCAATGCAAAAAGAAAACTTATTAGAAAAGACTTGAAGTGAGAACGAAGTAAGAATTCTTATATCTGGAAATGAGACAAAATTTAGAAAGAGTGACTGGATGATGAACGGACATCTAGAGCAGAAATCTGTTTCTATAAGTCTCCCTTTAAATACACATTGTATAAATACCCCCTCACTGCAGAAGAGGATTTTACCCAGTCATGGAATAAGTGCTTACAGAAGAAATTTCCACACATCTCTGAATTTAAAGATGGGACAGATATAGTATTAAATAAATTGGTTAGAAGTTTAAACAAAAAGATATGACAAATGTTTTGGGATTTTTTTTTTCCCCAAAAAGGAAAGAGTTCTGTATGAACAAAGACTTCCTTTGTTTTACTAGGGAAATGGCATAAATTGAAAAATGGAATTGTGGCAAAACACAAAAGCAATGAAACAGAAAAGAGTGAAAAATCAGTTGCCTGTGATTTAGTAATTCTTTGCAGATTTGATGGATGCTAGGATTTTCCAAAATTTAGCTATTTGATTATACAAACACTGCTATAACTGCTGGAGAGAACTGATGGTAAATTCTTGCAAGGAAGAATAAAGTGAACAAAAGGAGCAGCTGAAAGGATTTTTACACTGCTAGAAGCCAGTATCTTCACTTTTCACATTACTGCCTATTCAGCTTTTTGCTGCATATGAGATGAGAGGAGCTCTTGAGCACCAGACTAGAAAGATTTCTATTTATACTCAAATGTGGTCATCAAAATCCTGGCAATATACTGTTGGTTTTTTTCCGAATAATCTGTTATTATCATAATGTGCCAAGCCCAATGCTGAATCAGAACCTAGCTGTGTTAACCATTATCATGGCACATAACAAAGGACAGGATCCCTGTCTCAAAGATCTTACAAACACTGCTTAAAATATCTGTCAGTATACAGCTGGTAATTTTTAAATTTTCTGCCTATCCAGAACTAAATGTAGTCTCGGAGCTCAACCTAGCAAATGTCAATTGCCTTCCATAGGTCTTTAATTTGTTCAGAGTACTCTTAGCCCTTTAGCAGATTGGAATCCCTCTCTTCTGCTAGAGCCTTTGAAAATAGAATACACTGTATGTACAGCATGAAAATGCTTTTTTATTACATTGTGTTAGATTTCAGTCATGAGGAGCACTGTGGTAAGTGGTCTTGTTCAAAACTGTTGGCTGCAGCTAGCAGGATAGATACTTTTAGAAAAAGGAAAGGTTTTTCAAAGTTACACTTGATAAATTTGATGTCAACTCTCAATAAATCAATTAGAGGAAGAATGATAGCATGGAAGAGTTATCTTATTTTCTAGGGTCAGGAAAATAACTGTAATCTTTTTGTTTCCTATTCACTTTTAGTTTTTCTCTCCTGCAACCTGACTCAGTCATTCTTATTTGCT